GAGGTGATGTATCCTGCACAGTGATGAATTTACTCAGGGCTGACCATCTGACACAATTTCCTCCCAGATCTCAAAGCCTCTGCTTTGAGCATGCTGGGCAGACACAGGATGCTTGTGGGTGTGGGAAAGGGCCTGGCAGATGACTAGCCCAAAGCCATGACCTGATGAGGGGGTGTGTGTCACCCTTTAGTCCTAATGCCAGGCTTAAGGATGGCTCCCTTTTGGCTGGGTTTTTCCATGTTTACTGTAGTTACAGGACAACATTTACAAAGAAAGAGTTACACAAGTGGTTTTAAAGAGGCAGGGTGAGGACACAGCCTATTGTTAAGGCTGCACTTTCCACCACCAGACCCAGCTTCCATTTGTTTCCAACACTTCTGACACTTGCTCTGAAATTGTCCATGCTGTTGGGAAGCTTCCCATGCTGTTCTGCAAGTCCTTTGGAAAACAGGGATTTGTAACTGCCATCCCATAGTACAAACATATATACACACATGCAAATGGAGAAAATGGATTTCAGTGTGCACAGACAATCTGAATTTTGGCAGATCTTCAGAGTGAGCAGATTGTTAAAATAATTATTTCCTAAGAAAATAAATTGGAGTCTGGATAACTAAAATGACCCCTTGTCTTGGGTCACCAACAATGCTCAGTAGTTTTGAGCCACAGAGCATTTCTCTACCACTTGATCTGACCAACAGCTGGCACTGGCACTAGAAGTGGACGTCTCCGTACCCTTGAACAGAATTTTCTCCATTTATCTGCTGATCTCCAAGAAGAGAAACATGAAAGACTTCAGCTGTGGAGGAGAAAAAAATCTCTGGATCCTTCACACCTCCTGTCCATCCAAACACTTATTATCTCAGTGCCGTGTGGGTCTCTCATCTTTCCCACAAGCTCTTTTCCAGCCAGTCTAGCGCATTCCCTCTTCCCACCTTCTCCTGCAGTCCTGCCATCCCAGTCCCCTTCCTTGCACATCCTCCCAGGCTCCAGCCAAGCTGCTCCCTCCTCTTCTCCCTGTTCAGCAAAATGCAAACCTGGTGGCCTACAAACCAAAACCAATGGGCAACAACAGACCTGAGGCTCTGTCCTGACAGAGCATCATCTATCTTATCTGTAACAACTCCCTGGGAAGGAGGTTTCCTTGCCTCCCTAGGTGGTCTTGCAACAGTTTTATGATGATAACAGGATGTTTTCTCAACATCCAGCTTAAATCATCCTGGCAAATTAGCAAATGAGTAAATTAAGGTGCCATGGATATCCGGGACTTTAATAACGACTATTACATGCTGGCAGACTGCTAGATTGCACAGCAGTTTTCTTTTTGTTGCACTGAATAAATTTAGTTCTTTCAATCTCTTCTCACATTTCCTCATCTCTTCTCGTGGTTTCCTTCTGGACACTCTCCAATACACCCATGTCCTCCTCAGAGCAGGGTACCCCAAACTGGATCTGATGACACTGATGATGGCTCCACAGGACCACACATGAGTAACTCACCTCCCGCACCTTATGGAGGACACTCCTTCAATATAACTCAAAACAAGATTTGTTCCTTTCGCAATAGCCTCTCACTGTTGATTCATTTGTAATCCACTAGAAATCCTGATTTTTTTTCTACTCATCCTTCTCCAGCTTAAACCTGACTTGGTAAATGTGCATTTTGATTTCTCCTTCACAAATGAATCACTCTCTGGCTTCTTTTATCTCTTATCTGGATGTACTCTCCAATTTCTTAAGGTCACTCTGAACCCTGACCCTATTCTCCCAGCCGCCTGCAATCCCTCCCAAGCTGATGTCATCTGAGTGTTATAAACATAGCTCCATCTTCCAAATCATGACTGAAAATATTGCAAGTTTCCCCCAGAAAGTGACCTTGCTGATGTATCACACATTACCACACTACTTGGATCAGTGGAGAGATGAAAGAGAAAGTTTTTTTCAAGCTTCTCTCTCTGTGAATGTATTTAGAAATGCCACATTTATCTAGCAAGCTGCAACTTCCGAAAACACAGACATTAATTCCTGTGGTAAAGGTAGGATGCATTAAATTCAATAGCAACTAACTAATAAAATTAATAAATGCAATGGGAAGACTATTTGCCAGTGAACTCCAGTCTGGGGTCAGCCAGCTACACTTTCTCACTCACAGGCTTAGACAACCAAAGCCACTGGATGAACCCAGCAGTGCAAACTTATCCATCCTGCCACGTGAAGACAAAGATTTAGCAAATAATGAATCACAACCAACTTCTGGGATCAACACAGGAGAAGTATATCAGGGTACAGTTCATTTCAAACTGTTGCTTTACTTTTATAATGCTGGAGCCACCAGGTGCCATTTTAAATTATTTTAATATCGCAGCATGCAGAAGCCAAAACAAATCTCTCATCAGAGTTAATAATTATTAAATTTTTTAAAAAATGCTAAACTCTAGTTTTAATATATCACATCAAATGATTATCCCAGCTCTACTCAAGATTCCCAAACTAAGCAGGAAGATAAGGACCAGGGAAGTCTCTGGCAGGATGAGCCTACCTTGAAAGGAGCTTAGGAAGTTCTGGTTACTGAGTTTCTGTAGCTGTACAGATACAACCTCTGAGAAAACATTCTGGCAATTTAGGAAACACACTTTAAGACCCTATTTTAATTGTCAAAACCGTTTTTCCATTATTTTCTCTTCATTGCTTATAACCCTACAGACCATTATTTTCCTGAACATTTTTCACCAGCAGCTTTTCCATGATATGCACAAGAGCCTCTCTCAGACAGAGTCTTCTGAAACAACTTTAGGGGAAAGTCTGAGAGCTGGTACTATACATGTAATACTGGCATCACGAATACATCTAATTCTAAAAACTCTTCAGAACCCAACTCAGGAGTTTTCCCCCTTCTCTTCCCCGTGTGCTCAAGCTACTGTCCTTCAGCCTGACTGCACTATACAAGTTGCACTTTTTAGACTCCAAAATATTTGTTTCCATAACCTGTACATCTGAAAAGCTTTCCACACTGTGCAAAGTTCTCACAAACCGCACAAAACAGGAGTTAATGCAGTTCCAAGACCCAAAGCTGCCAACAGCCCTGGTGAGACTGCAAAATACCTGCAGCTCCTGACCAGCTGCAAGCAACAACATTTCTATTTGCAACAAGTTAAGAAAACCACTTTGTACTAACCACAAAATGGCTCTGTAATAAGAAGGCAACAAGCACCTGAAAGACTTCTGGCTACAAAAAGAGCCAGCACTAAATAAAGCAGAGACAGGACGTGGCAGGAGATGCACACTGTGCAATGGCTCTCACCGGCCAGCTCCGGCCCAGCCTACACGTGTGAATTGAGCTCTATTTATAAGCCCTCCACTCCTTTTTTTTTTTTCTTTTTTTTTCAAATGACCTTAATATAGTGCAGTTGTTATTTTGTTTCTGTTGAACTTAGCAACAGGAAACCCTGTCAGTCCTGCAGCAAACTTTCCATTCCCCTGGCACTCCCATTCCTGCCTCGGAAAAGCCAGATTTCTAAAGAGGTGTTTGACGAGGCAGGAGGGAGAGGGAGAAGAAAGCACACACACAAAAATCAAAATGCCCGTAAAACATGCAAAATGGAAGCCAAATGCAGTAAGTTTCTTTTATGTCTGTTTGAAAGGAAAAGGCAATGTCCTAATTTGCATTTTCTAAAGATATCTTAACTCACTGACCAGATTCCTAAGTATTGTTCAGGAATACCTTCAATAAGAGGTCAGTAAAAATAAAAATAAAAAAATCATCAGCATCTTCACACTCATAAATTCCAGTAATGACAGACTTCTTTATCAGACAGTACAAATGTTACTTGGAAAGTTATTTTCTCTAGTCCCTGGCTAATTCACTGAGCAAACAGCTACAGAAATTAAGCCTTAACTTGTTAAAAACATAATAAACCTGATTTTATTACAAGCTTTGGCAAGACTGTTCTGCTGCTCAAAGAGCTTTATTGCATGATGAGCAAAGATTTTTGGAGCTCCACCCTGCAGTGTGAACTCATCCCCACAGTGTTTTCTCTTTTAACAGCTTCATAATGGTAGGGGAACACACAAACACAGCTGCTCAAAGGCAACGTGCACCAACACAGGCTGACAGCAATTCAGCATTTACAAAACACTTTTTCAGGTACAAGAAACCATATATAAAATATATAAGCAAATGCAAATCCAGCTAGGAAAGGTCACACCAAGAAAACACAGCTCTTGACAAAGCAGAATATGTATTTGCGGTGCTTTAAATCAAAATTCTGTTCACATCAAGCCCAGTATACACCTTCTTTTTCAGTCACAGACAGTCCTTAAATATGGTAAAGCACAAGTAATAAAAAACAAAACCAACAAATTCCTGATTCCTGGCATGACCTTTTATACTGTTTCACCAACATGAACAATATGGGCTTTCACCCCACACTTGATCCCTATATGTCCTCCCATTATTCATTTTTCTTCCAGCTAAGGCACTAACACTCCCAGCTAATGATGTCTTTAGACCTTGGAGTCTGTGCACACACCAACATTCACTGCAGCCACGGTTCCTTCTGCCAAAAACTCTGCGGAAGGACAAAGTACAGTGAAGGATGGAGAGACTCTCCAGGACCACGCAGGCAGCAGCTGGGTGCAGGGACCTTGAAGGTGCTGCTGGTCCCCCCCATAGCATAACCAACCCCAAGTGCTCTCCAGGACATGGCTTTTGTCAAATCATACACAAATCTTGGTGCAACCCTGCCCCACAAGCAACCTCTTGGCTCAATCTCTCTGTCACTGGCTGAGAAAACATAAATGTGGCTTAATCCAGCGGTTGAAAACGCAAGGTCTAAAAAAGCCCAGACTATTTTTAAAAGGCTAAAACAACGTCATAGTGATGGAGGCTGTTGAGCAGAGGGTACAGAAAGGAAACCAGTAGGTTTGGTGGTTGGTTACAGCAGTGGTGGCATGTCTTTAAACAGCACAGCAAGAGACAAGGCGACAACACGTGCACTCACCGCTTCCTCGCGGGCTGCGCTCCCCGTGCCGTCTTTCAGAAAATCCACCTCGTCCTCAGTTTTCATTTCCAGCTTCCCTGTGAAAATAGAGGGTCCCCAAAGGTAATTTAAAAACAAATTTCTTTCAGTGCTACTAATATTTTTCTGTTTACACAAAACAGTCTCAAAAAAACCACCCTAAAATGAAAAGAAAGCTCAATGCCCAAACCCCTTCAACAAGTCCATTTAAACCCCTTCAGCAAGTCCATTTGACTTCTAACATCTGGTTTCATTCCTGACTTTCCCCCTGGTTGTTATTAGTTTTAACAACTATCGTGTCTGGGACTGAAGGAAACTATGAAACAGCAGCAAGCACAGGGTAAAACTCCTGAAAAGCTGAAGGTGAGGCCAAGCACATCTGCATGTATTTGCCCATGTATTTTTTTGGCTCTAATTCATCTAGATAAAGAAGCTAAATTTTTGCTGTTTTTCTTCTTACCATAACCCCAAAAAATAACTCAAAAAACCAGCCTTGCCTTCCCTCAAGAGGTATTTTAAGTGTTGAAAAAAAAATAAATCTATAAGCTGCAAAAATTCATCCCACCTGCGCTGCCTTAAGGATGACAATCACACCTCTGGACTAGGAAGGCAAACCCTTTTGCTGCCGGAGTTTACAAAGTCACGGTTGATTCTCCCCTTCCTCATGCTCTCACAATGGTGTCACCACCGCAGTAATACAAATATCATGTCCCAGCTGCTTTCTCTGCCCAACAAAACTTTCATTAGTCACCATTCCCCAGGGGTTCCCCTAGCTTACCTTTTCCTGGCATGAAGTCAACATCCTAATTCGCTTTCAACCCTAAGCTAATGACTCTCACGACACACGGGACACTTTTCGAGGAGTGAAGCGATTTGACCAAAGCCGCCCAGATGGAAAGTGGCTGTGTCAGGGCTAAACCCCCCCCTCTAATCCCACTCCCTCTCTCATTTCTACTAAAAACAAACACTGGATGGATGACAACGCCTTCTTAAGGGTGACACGTGTTTGCAGTGAGTTTACCGTTCAGGGATTTAGCAAGTGGAGCCTCCCATCTTCACGAGGAAGTTGATGTTACAACTGTCACCAATGGTTTTCCACTGGCTTCAAATCTACCCTTGATTTTTGGGACTATCTGGTTTTGCAATGATTTTGTCTCAGCTGGATGAGTTTGTGGGCAGACTCAAAAATCAGAGGGAAAGCAACAAATTTCCTTTGAGTGCCACTTGCTGGGAGATCTGCTCGGGGTCATGGTAATGCCGTGATGGTTGAGATATTGGTCCAAGGACAGAACACTCAAAGAAGAAATATTTAGTGCATCGAGGATAGGAGAAGCAAGTGGTGTAGTGATACCCTGTGCTGCCTAAGAACTGGAGGACAAAGATGTGCCCTCAGGATGAAATTCAAGAGAACAACCTTTCGCACTCTGCCACTTTTTCCTAAACTTCTGCTAAGAAAAGTATCTCAAAGGAAAAGCTCTATAATGCTGTCACAGAGGTCTCTGGGCACAGAGTACCTAATTACACATGGAGTACCATTAGTGACATTTGTTACCTGTTCATCCTGCCACTCTAACAGGGGAAGGAAATACTAAGTGTTTTTCCATAGGAAAAATGTCACTGGTAAGTCTGAAGTAAAGACTGGTAAAGTTCAAAATAAGGTGATATACTTCTATCTGTCAATGAATGTTTTCTTGAAATCCTGAAATCTACAGGAGATGCACTGGGGATATTTCTCCCAGGAGAAAAGCTATGGAGCAGTAATTACAGTATTTCTTAATCTAACATGACAAACCCCAACCATATAACCTAACCTTGCCAGGTTTGGTTTCTGCCAAGAAACTGCAACTACTCCAAGGTGTTTTGTCAGCATAAATTCATGCCATTTCTTCTCTTCTCACCCAGCCCAGCTACTGTGGTATATGATTTCATATCCTAACTCCCTTCTTTTTTAATGAGTAGTATCTACCTGCCTGGCTTGCAAAAAATGTGCTTGCAGAACCCATTACTCAGCTGCAATGCAGTTCTGAGTCTAAAGCCAACAGCAGGAGGAGATGCCTTAGGAAAGCAGGATCTTCTACCTTCATTACCTTCCTTCAATGTTATGACCAGTCACTAGATATTTGTTTGGATAAGGAAATTAGCCTTTTGAAGTTTTTGCTTTGGGAGTAGGTGGAAACTAAGCAGAGGCAATGAGATAAACAGGTGTATATTTGGGAGTAGCTTCATAATATAAATAAAAAAATTAAAGAGCTCAATGATTTGGAGTAATGGCAACAGCAATTATCAGCTGATTACATCTCTGATAAGTTACCATGACAATAAAACCCTCTGACTACACGTGTTTCTGAGAAATGGCCTCATGACCTACACTTCCCTTGGGAAGGCTTTATTGTATTCCATTGAAAAAAGATGTGATTCATTGTGTGCACTGACAACTCTGCCATGGACACAAAATCCTCTGTACAAACCCAGCCTGCAGGGAAAACTGCCCAGCACTGGCACAGCAAAGAAGAATTGAAGGCTACCACTGAAATCATACACAAAATGTGCCACCCAAGGCTAGACATGAACATGAAGAATGTACACAGCAATAATAATAAACAATAAATCAGTTCTCTTGAATTACTGCCATATCAGAGTTCTAGATGATGCTTCATATGAGGTGAGTTTCTGAAACATTTCGAATAGCAAACTTGGATCCATAGCAGTTGCTTGTCTCTGCTTTAAGCTAATATTTTATTTGCATTTCCCTAACATTTTGCTTCAAAAGAATCCTGAAGTACTTCAAGAGAAAGTATTACAGTTGAACTTTGGGTCTGTGCAGCACCTCATTGCAATAAACAATTTTTGCCTAAGGAGAGGTCAGATTGTTGTATCCCAAGACCATTTAGACCTAAATCCTTAGTTATTTTAAATCAGTAACAGGATCACTTCCTTTCCCCCACCCCTTTCCATATCCTACCACAGAACGATGCCTTAACATCAGTATCCTACTTTAGCTACTTTCTTATTGGACTGTCTAGCCCCTTTTCCTTTTAAAACCTCGCCTAGACAACGTCATGCCTCCAAGAATCCAACCACAGATAAAGACCTGGACTGCACAGAGGGAGCCAACAAAGCCACAGGTTCCCGGGGAAAAAGGAGCCCTGCCAGGTATTGAGTTACAGCCACTCCCATCCTATTGAACTGTCAAACCAACACAGTACTAAACCAGGTTCCTTCTAAAAACAGCTTTCAAATCCACTTTTCAATCTTTCTACTTATTTACTAATGATCTCCTGACTCGTGGTTACTGGTTATCTCTTGACACATAAGTGTCCTAAAAATCCTGAACTCAACGAAAAAGGGATTTGCTGGACCCACCACCGAGCCCCCTCAATCCTTTCTCCTGCCCCCAGTTATTCTGCCATCATGTATCAGAACAAACCCTCTGCCATCACCCCGTATTGCATTAAGACCAAAAGCACCAAGTCCCAGCATTAAAACAGTGAAACAGCTTTATAACTTCACAATTTCGTGATCTATATCATAGCAGATTTTTTTTTAATTGTTTAAATGCTTTGTTTGTTTGTTTGTTTGTTCAGTGCTGGGAAAGCAAGAGGCACTGTAGCATTTTCTCACAGCAGAGGAAAAAAAATGGCAACTGAAAAAGTTCAGCTGCTTCCATTTAACAGCTGCCTGAACAGGTGGAATATGAAGATCAGATTAGCTCCATGCTTCAGTACCAAATTCACCTATCATTTAATGCCAGTCTGGAGGAACAAGAACCCCTTTTTTTTTTTTTTTTTTTGTTATTCAATTTACCCCCTTTTTTTTCCCTTTTGGAATTACCTTATGATGTTTTCTATTAGCTCCTGTTGCACGGGTACCAGGCATCTGAGCTGTCCCCAAGTCCCACCGCTCTCCCCCATCACACTCATCCACGGGGAACGCCCGTTCCGCTTCCCAGCCGACAGCAGCAGGAAAAACTCATCATCCGAGTTCCAGTACTGTTTAAATGCACTGGAAAGCACCACCGGCTGCTCTGCCCGACAAAAAACCTCTGAAGCCCGGAAAAGAGGGTGGGGGCAGGGCCCGCTGGCTTTTTTAAATGACCTAATGCCGCCAATTAGGAAACAGCTTCGGGCAGTTCAGAGGGACATTTGCAGCTGTTCCAAGCAGACAAGCAAAGAAAACGCAGGACAGGCCCGTTGAACCCTCTGATTCCATCTTAGCAAAAATAAAGGGGAGAGAATAGCACTAAGGAAATAAACCCTCATGCCCACATGAAAGCATCTAACTCCAAGATAAAGTATTCCAAATAGCTTACTCCCATTCATTCCTTCTTAGGGAGGATTCATGTGCTAGAAATTCTTCTGTACAAAGTCAAAGGAGATGACGTCCTGTTCTTACCTCCAGCAGCATCCCAGCATTTGAATTGGAAGGTTTTATATGTAAGTTCAAAATTTTCCTTTCTCAGAAGAAAAACCCCAAACACCTACACTTCCCTCTGCAGCACAGGCCTCCAGCTCTTACTTCCTTTGCTGATGAGATGCTAGAGGGCACGCCTACAAAGAAAATCTAAAAAAGGAGGAAACCAACCGATTTTTCCTACCTGTAAGAGGCTCAGCTCCTTGCACTGCCAGGCTGACGTTCTTCTTCTTTGTTGAGGAACTTAAATCCATTTCTCCATTAAGGCTGACTCCAACATCCACTGCAGCCTGGGCCTCAAGCACCCCTTTTTCTGGGGCTGGTAATTCAGAGGAACAAGGTGTTTCTGCTGCAAAAACCACTGCATCAAAACTTTTTACCGTTTTAGGAACTTTATCCAGAGAGGAGCCATCGTCTGCCGATACCAAACTCTTCACTCCCTCATTTTCCAGTGACTCAACAGCAAGTAAACGGCAGGAACACGGTGAGAGGGGCAATTCAGGTACATCTCGGCTTTGCTTTCCATCAGGCTCAGCCAAAGCCTCCCCTTCAGCTGCTTTCCCAACAGGACCAGCATCGGCCTCGCTGGCCGGACAAACAGTGTCGGTGCTGGAGTCGCTGTCGCACGTGGGCTCCTCTGCGATGGGCTGGAGTGCTGCCCGGGGAAGCACGCTCTCTGAATCCTCCTGCTCCTCCGGATACGCTGCCACAGGGGTCATTGTCACCGGCCTCAGTACTTCCTTACCCTCACAGGCATCACTCGGGGCTCCCGTTTCTGAGGTGTCCTTTAACTCGGAGGTGCTGCTGTGCGGGGAGATCCGCTGTAGGGTCTGACTGGGATCATGTTCTCGGTTCAGCCCCGCATTCAGACAGGGGTCACTCTCTGCACCCAGTGACTTATCTGCTGGTGCAGGTCCGTGCATGGTGCCTTCTCCTGCGGCCACTGCTCCGGCCTTGCACGCTTCTTCAGGTTGGACTGTCTCTTTCAGCCCAGCATCCACATTGCTGCTGCCCACCACAGGCCCCCCGAGACTGCAGGCAGAGGGTTTCACAACAGCAGCAGGAAGTTCCTCTGACAAAACCTGCTCCTTGCCATTCGCATGAGCCTCCCACTCAGGCTCATCTTTGCCTCCTTCAGCCTGAGAGAGGCCCTGCTCCAGGGAGCCCTCATCCCCAGCACGGTACCCGGGCCTGCCGGCAGCTACCCTGCCATGCTGCCAGGAGAGCTCTGCTGAGTCTGCCCCCACCACCACTGCTTCCTGGTTTTGTTTAGAGTCCTCATTATGAATTGCAGAGGGTGTGCCCATTAAATTATCCTTGGCACAGTCTGCACCACTGGCACATGGCACTAATCCAGAGTCATTACCTTGCAGAGCTGCCTCCTGCCCAGGAGGTGCCACTGCAGCATCTCCCTCCTGACTCAGAGCCGGTCCCTCTCCTCTGGGCAGGAGAGTGGGCGATTTCACCTCACTGTTCAGACCCTGCTGCTCTGAAGCACTTTCTGCTGTCTCTGCTTGGGTCTGGGCAGGCTCCTTCTCTGCCAGACCTGTGCTCATGTCCTCTGGAGGAAGTGATGCAGGCTCATGTTCACTCTCCTGAGCAGTGACTGGTTTGAAGCTGTTGCCCATTTCATCTTTATTGCCAGTTTGAGCAGCAGAAAGGCAACAGCCATCAACTTCCTGACCTGCAGAATTTACACTTCCTCCATCTCTGGGGCTGCTGGTATCAGTTCCTACTGGCTCCTTTTCACTGCTCTCCATTGTTTCAGCCTCATGGTCAGTGATCTCACTGCTCTCCTGGCAATGTTCAGGTTCTGCACCGCTTCCATTAGATCCACCAACATCACTGTTTTCAGGTTCAGCATCAGCGCCATCAGTTTCCACACTGCCTGCCAGTGAGGGCAAGCTGGATTTTCCATCTGTGCAATCTGCTTCCACCTGCCTTTCTCGCTCCCTGCTCTTATTGCTGCTATGGATCTCTGAACCAGGATCAGATTCTGATGCACATGCAGGAACCTTCACCCCATTCACTGCTGGTAGTGCTTCCCCAGTGCTTGCAGTGATATCCTGCCTTGCTGTGACACAGGCATTGCCTTGGCTTTCCACGAAGTCACCGTTTACCTGAGCAGTGCATGATCCAGTCTCTTTGTTGTCGCCAGTCTTGCAAAGGTCAACAGGGACATCGCCAGTGCCACCACCTGCATTTGTACCGTCCCGGGCCGGTGCCACTCCCATGTTTGCATCCTCCCCATCTGAACACTCAGTGCCATTAAAATCACTGAGTAAGGGCTGAGCAGCACTGGCTGACTCCTCCTCAGCTGGAGATTCCTCTTCCAGGTTTGCAGTCCTCTTGCCTGCCTCTGCCATCCCATGCTCTCCCTGCCGCTGGCTCGCAGCCCTCTCAGCGGCCCCGGTACAGTTCCTGCATTCAGTCTGGCCCATAACCACATCCAGGCCCTCCGAGGAAGCTGGGGCTTCACCTGCAGCTGCAACCACAGCAGCAGCACTGCCAGCTGCACGCTGCTCGGCACCTCGCACTTCCTGATGGGCAATATCTGTACTGCCCAAGCCAGCTTGATCCAGAACAACTCCAGCAGATGTCATTCCAGCTGCCTCATTTGTATTTCCAGAGGGTGGAAGATTTACAGCACCGTTTACACTTGCACACGGGCTCACAGTGCATTCCTTCTCATCTGATACAGTCCCAGAGCCTTCAGCAGAGGTTGGCCCCACCTCTTCCTTTTTACACAATATCTCTGTGTTTTTACTTTCATAGAATGACTCTGGGCTGTTTCCATCCCCCAGGCTAACCAAGTTATTGGGTGCGTCATTAGAAGTTCCCAAACTCCTGCTGTTGCATTTCTCCTCCTGCTGGGTTTGGTGTGAGAGCTGCCCAAAGTCCAGGTGAATCAGATCAGATGGGTTTTCCTGCCTTTCTTCTCTTGCCATTTCTTCAAGCCTCTGAGAGGTAGTGGTCAGGCGACCATCTGGCTCTGCTCCTTTAGCACAGCTGTCTCCAGAATCCCCCAGTACAGGCTCTGTCTGCTGCCTTGAACTCTGTAACAAGACACATACACACAAAAAAGAAAGTATTACTTTACTCTGTCACACAATTACCCTGTCTCCATTATGTGCAAGATCTATATCTACACAATCCTATTCCATGTGACTCCTACTCCCTCTGTACCTCTACCTGGTGTCACCCAGGACAGAGTTACAAATATACCTCAGTGGGTATTTTACATGTTGCTTTTGGAACAAGGTAATACTGAAATTATTAGAATGACAGAAGCATTTGTTGAAAAGAGTATCTGAAGGTCATCTAGTCCAACCACCTGCCTGAGACTGGACTGCTGCCAATGCAACATCAGGTCAACCATGACTTTATCTTGCCAAGTCCCCAAAACTTCCAATGATAGAGTACCCACAGCCTCTCTGGGCAATCTGTTCCCATGCCACACCACCCTCCCATGAAGAATTTTTTCCTAATGGTCAGACTGAACACCCCGAAGCTGAAATTTGTCCCTCTACTCCCTTGCTACACCATCTGCCACCACTGAGAAGAACTGTAATCTTGGTAATTGCTCTTCAAGCAGTTGTAGTCATATTTCTTGAGTGCACTTAAATTCAAGATCAGTAAACAGCAGAATTCAGTCTACCAAATAATGCAAATATATACCAGCATAGTCCCAAAGGGCTTTAAGCAAATGCTGTTTAAGAGCAGCCTCAGATCCCTGCCCGATGCTGCTCCCCAACTCTCGCCAGTGTTGCTCAATTTACTCCACATGGATGGAAATGCTATTTCAGACTTGGGCATTGGTTGACACTGTCCAAACACACCACTGCTCCTAGAACTGATCATCTAATCTATTCCTGAGAATTGCAGGCATAATTAAATATCTGAAATTTATTTCCTAACTGGAAATAAAAATTTCAAAATGATGACAATACTATTAAAACTAATACATGCATTATCATGGAACAGTAGCAACATATTCAATTCCCCTCTAATCTGCATTTTCCTTCCAGAGCATCTGCTTTGTCAAGCTTTTATAGTTTGATACAATCAAACCTTTACTTAAAAAGAACCACCTGTTTCAATAGCTCCTTTCATATTCTCTTCTCTGCAGAAGAGAATACATCAACGTTCACATCTTAGAAGAACAGGCTTATTAAATTAACGAGCAACCCCAATCCCTCAACGTACACCCCACAGAGCTCCCTTGGTTTGCTTGGGGCTTTGCACCATAAACTTTCCGAGGTCACACTGGTTTCTTGCTAAGTGCTTCTGACTCTCCACAAACACAAAACTCTAATAAACTATGTGAAATCTGAGGGGTTTTTTGCATTTCTTTGTAAAAATATTTTAAAAAAAATACATGTGTCCCAGAAGTCTAACTTGAACAGCTCCCTGCAAATTTTAAGACTTCTCAGAGAAATTGAACTTCATACCAAAAATGTCAGCCTAAACACCCTGAATATTACAGTGGCCAATATGTTAACTGATGCATCACAGGGAACTTCTGGGTATTGCATATACAAATAGTGGCTAAAATAATCACTGCTGCCTCGAGGATATTGTGTTTACTTGTCTTTCCATGCTCTGAGGTTTGCAAACATTGAGCAGTGCCACAGAATCACTGAATCATGGACCACTAAATGTACTTCTGGTCAGTTTGCCATGAATCTCTCTCCTATTCAAAATAATCCTGGTACCCAGCTCCCATATATGCTGTCAGCTATGCCAGAACTCCCTGAGGCTTCCCAAGACCGGTTAGCATTGGAGGCATGGCATCTCTGTGCTTGTGTAGCACCAGGGCTCTGCGTGCAGTGGTACCCACAGGCTGCAGCTACTTCTTGCAAGGGCAAACAGACACTGTGCCAGGGCTCTGGTGGCTGTAATCCCACAGCAGAGCATGGACACCATGCTTCTGGCTCCTAGCCACGATGGACAGACACAGACCACACAGCCAGGATGGACAGACACCAACAACAGTGACACTCAGGAACAAGCAAGATTTTCAAAAGCAGGGGCCACAGCAGCCCCAACATCCTCACAGTGAAGTCACTCTGCTGATAGCCTGAAAAATATAACCATGACCAAAGGAAGCCAACTGGCTTTCAACTGACCCGAAATAAACCTAAATGAAATAATTACAGGGCTGCTTTCCAAATTCAAATCAGATTAGATGTGAAGTAAAACAGTGGTGGAAAGAAAAGGCTATTTCTGATTTCATTGTCAGGCAAAATGTACTCATCTGGCATTTGCACAAGCAAACAAGCAGTGAGCTGGATATGTTGGCCATGCTTTAGTGTCTTTTGATGGAAAGGGCAAGAGATTTCATGGTTAGCCACTCATGCCACCAGTTCCTGTTGAGATCTGGAGAAATTAACATCTCAGGTACCAAGGGGAGGGTGAAAATGGCTCAGGATGGTCCATACCTCTGAATATCCTCCCAGCTGCTTCCAGTAGACAATTCTCCCCTCCCTTAGTTAAAGGAACAAAAATATCCTGTTATTTAGATCCTGCACCTCTGCAACAGCAGCTACATGAGCTGATGAAGGAACACCCACAAGTGATGGCAGCTGTGCAAGACAGAGGGTGTTTCTGAGAAATGGCACAGAAGTGTTCTGCTGTTTCACCTTCCATCCCAACTGAGATTTTGAAGCGGGGAGAGGAAGCCCTTGCAAAGCCTCACAGCTCCTGCTGTCCAACCACCATGGGGTCTGAGAGGAGCACAGTGAAGGAAGCACTACAGACACTTACCTTTTCTGGCCAAGGCAGGCTCATCCTACACTGAGGTGTTACGGAGACAGTTATTTTCTCCATCACCTGCCCCAGAGACTTTCCCCTCAGACTCATCTCTGACTCTGAACTTTCTGTCTGAACAGAGACATACCCACTGTGCTCACTGCCCACAAGCCAGCCTCACTCCAGAGCCTGCCTTTAGCTGCCCAACGGCTGCCAGAGGACAGCATGTCTCCAGGGAGGTCTCCCTGCCCATCCAAGTGGGTCCCAAGCTAATGGAGAAGGCAGGAGGTGGGAGCAGAGAGAGCCCACAAGACCAAACAGAGCAGGCATTGCACAGCCCCGAGCCTGCTCCTCTTCTGAGAGAGAGCATTTGCTGCCTAATACAGCTTTATCAAATCTCCCCATGCTCAAACAGGAAGAAAACAAGCAGGGGTCCACCTGGACGCTTCATAACGACATCCAGAAAATGCCTAAAGAAATATGCCCTGAAGGATGCCTATCTATGAGAGCCCTCCCCAGGTGCTAAGCAGCAACCAGGCAGCTCTGCCTCTCCTTCACCACCTCAGCCTTTTCCTCACCTTGTGCTGGTGGCTCTGCATGTGCATCTGGAGGTGCCGTATGTCCCTCTCCCAGCTGGACGCCGCCCCTTCCTTGGCCTCAGCCGTCAGCAGGTACACGTCGAGCCCGCGGTGGTGCTTCACGCTGTAGTCCCCCGAGTGCACCGTGTGAGACAAGGTGCTCCACGAGTCCGGCTCCCTGGCCTCCTCCCTGCCATAAAAAAACCAGGGGCGGGTTAACGAGGGGGCGAGGAGGGGATGCTGCGTGGCAGGACACGCGCGCTCTCCTTCACTCTAGACAGTCATCTAATCATCGGCCCGAGCGAAGCACAGCACCGGCTCCAGGGCCAGACAGACAAATACACGATGCACGCCTGGCCTTGAAAATTAATGTGATTTAGAGTTAATGCCAGCCACAAGCTTTATTTCACAAGGTCCTTCTCAGGTAGAGAGACCTGCGGTTTTTACTCCAGACTATGACAGACTAGCAGCAGAGGGCACAGCTACTTTTTAAATTGAATTTATCACAGGTGGAGATTAACAAAGCAGCTGCCACAGAACAACAGGCACCTGAAAGACAGACCTGCAAAGGCACAAGTTGGAGGGAACAAGGATTGACACAGATGCTACAACTTCTACACCAAAACCAGCACACTGCTCACAAACACCCAACAGCCATCAAATCATAGCAATTTTGTCACTCCTGAAATGAATTTAACTTGCTCTGTGAAACTGCCTCTGTGCAAGATGTTCTCAGTATTGTGAGACAGCTGTTCTTTGGCAGCACTGTTATGGTTTTTCTTTGTACCAATCAAAAGGAAAAAAAGGAAAAAAAGATGCTATAGATCAGGATGAAAAAATAACTCAGTAGGTAAATGTATTCAATAGACATTTCTATTGAGTCATCTCTTTTGGAATGTCAAACCCTGATTTTGCACAAGCTTTCTACTCAAAGCAGTAATTCCTCAGGTCTCACTGAGCTGCACAGTGGCTACACTGGCCCTTTAAGGGTGTGAGGAAACACTGAGGTGTTCTGCTATAGCTTCAGGTTCACAGATTTCATTTTGAATCACAACTGTTTCAGGAAACCCAAAATCTGTTTTAATCATCCTAGTCAGAGCAGCTTGTGCTGCACCCCACCAAGCCCTGCATCCCCGAGGAGAGATGTAGAGCCGAACAGGAATGTTACAGGAACAGATGATGCTGACCTGCTCAAGGGTGTGAGAAACGGGAATTTCTCTGTCTTCCTTTTTCCAGGGCTGCATTTACTGAGACCTAGTCCAAGCTGAGAACTGGGTGGGTGGTTGGACTAGACGACCTTTAAAGGTCCCTTCTAATCCAAATTATTCCATGATTCTACAATGTACCCTTCCCCACTGCAGAGACCAACCATCCCCAGATCTCCCTCTGCAGTGCAGCTACAGATTTCCCTGGAAGTGGCAGAGTTGTGCACTTTTTTTCCAAATGATTCGGAATTCAAGAAAGTACATATACAGCAAATGTATGCCATCAACCAAGTAAAACTACATATAGATTTCAGCTTCTTTACTGACAGGTTTATCATTTTAAAACTTGCAAACCTTTCTTATGGGCAAGTGCCCACCAGCAAACCACAGGGCTCTCCGGGATGCCACGCAATTTAGAAAGCAAAGTCATAATGAGCAGATGACACCATGATCAGCAACAGGAATGGGCAGAGCAGGGTGGGGAAACAGTCAAACAGTTCATTACATGGCAGAGAAACCTGTGCAGGCGATGGTGGTGGCAGTGACTGTCCCTGCTCTGCCTTGGTAAAACCATCTACTCCCTTCTGTGACTCATTTTGGGTTAAATCTTACAGGAAATTCAGACAAAGCAAACCTATGACTTCCACCATTCAAATCAATTGCCTTCAGCAGAATTACACTTGATTTAAGCTGAATCAATATTTCCATAGAGAAACAGAATGAAGCATCCAGTTTCTGGTGGTGATTAGCATAAATCCACACAGGCACTGAAGTCAACTGAGCCATTAGAAGTGACTAAAGAAATGACCTTCCTTTATCAAGGAAACACAGACATTTCTGTCTGCAGTCTTTTTCTTTTCAGATGTCATGTATGAGAAACCACTGTACTCAGGGCCACTCTCAGAGTACAATGAGGCAGTGAGCACAAAACCCACAGTCACCCACTCATGGGGACAGCAGCAGCCAGATAAAAGAACTGAGCACAATAAATCTGCTCTACTTTCTCATCAGCTTCAAGGACACTTGGAGGCATCTCCCAATCAGCACCCACAAAGCAGCCTGCATGACTTGCTGAGCCTCAAAGGACCCTCAGTGACTTCAAAAGCCTGGAAATCTGGAGCAAGATGACAGGCAGAGTCCCCTGTAACACCGTGAGTGTGCCCACCCCTCCAGCAACCCGCCACCTTCACACGGCCCAGACGGATCAAATAATCACTTCTGCTTACAAAGACAGCACTTTCTTTTCATACTCAGGCTGCCAGTCTGTGTTACAATTCATGAAAAGCTTTAAACCTTTTGAGAAACCAAGATGTTTCTCACATCCAGCCAAGTACAAACTCCAAGCTCTCAGTTTTAGTAGCGTTCACCTACGTCGTACAAAGTTCAGCAATAAGAAAATGAATGGCTCAATCTATTGACTCCTTCATATCATCCCCTTCATAAACTGTTCCATCCCAGCACTATGGTCTGCAGCAGAGAGGACAAATGGGGATTTGCAAGTGTTGACTCGTTTCCACACGGCTATTCCTGCTGCTCAGGGAATCACTTCCAAGGCCACATAGCTCATATGAAGACACTCCTGCTCATTTGTCTTCATACCCTAAGCTTCACTCTTTGTTCCTGTCCTGCATGTCTCACTGCAAACCCTGTTTTTATAGAGAGATGACAAAAACACACTTTCTTCCAGGAAAAAAAGCTTTGCAGTTATGTATTTTGTACTTCCTGGCTGTGAAAGATGTTTATTTTGTCCAGACTTGGAATTTTTGTACTGGTTGTATAGAAGTGCATACCCAAGCTGGTCTGCTAGGAGATAAAAACAGATATGCAAATATTTACTGCAGATTTATTAACAAAAATATGTATACAAACTCCAAACCTTCAAGAAGCCTGAAAATCTGCTTCTGTTCAGCACAAAAATCCAGTTTGCTGCAGTTTGCCAGCAACAAAGGAAATCTGTCCATCCTGGGTCAATCCTTTCTCATTCTCCTTTTTCAACAGCTTCCCATCAAAATACGTAACAGATACCAGTGAACTGAAAATTTCATATGAATCATCTCCAAGCCCAACTTTTGCAGGAGAAAGTATCTTGGTTAAAAAAGCAAGATAGTGTTCACTTATTGCTGATAGTGTTTACTAGCTCTACCCTCTGCCCAACCATGCCATGCCATGTCCCACTGAAAAAGCCTGAAAGAACTCCTCCAGCTCTTGTCCTTGCTGCTTTCCTGTTCCACGGAGGTAAACCCAGAAGGGAAACTGCTCGGTGCAAGAAAGGACAGACTTTCCAGCCTGCCCTTCATCTGCAGAAAGGTGGCCCAAAGAAGGATGCCAACCCCAAACAGGGAGATAGGAGAAGCAAACAAAGCTCCAAAATACTCTCAGGCCATGGCCTGCTCCATCTGGGAGCTGATTAGATTGCTGAAACCACAGGATCACCTCCTGCCCATCTGGCATGTAAGACAAAATGATAGACCATAGAATCACAGAATGGTTTGGGTTGGAAGGGACCTTAAAGATTGTCTAGTTCCAACATGGGCTGAGAGAACTTCCACTAGACCAGACTGCTCCAAGCCCCATCCAAGCTGGCTTTGAACACTTCCAGGTATGGGGGACATAAGTAGGTAATGTTTTTTAATTAAACCTCCCAGCACTGCCAAAGCTGACCCATCTCTTTTCAAGAAGGAGCCACACACTGTACTCATGTGCTGAATCTCTTCTCATCTCATGGAGGAGAGGAAAGTGCCTGCACCGGCACAGCACAGCTCCTGGCTTCCTGCAGATACAGGCAAGAGATTTTTAAGACAAGAGAAGATAAGCGAGAAAGGAGAACAAAAAAAACTCTGAGTAAAAAGCTCTGCCCACCCTCAAAAGCTGCAGGAACTGGGCTTGGTAACAAGGGTTTGAAATTCGGCAGTGCCAGTGCTCGCGGTCGGCGCGTCTTCCGGTACCCAGATACCGGGTTTGAACTGGAAGGCAGAGGAAGAGGAGGGAGGAAGAGATCAGAAGATGAAGAAAAAAGCCTCAGTGAATTAAACAAAACCTCATATTAGGAAGATTTATCCCACAGTTTTATAAAGGGGTAAGGAATGCAGTGTGGGAACTCAAGGTGTTATTTCCTGGGGATTTCCTTCAGATTTCCGAGCTGAAACAAAACAAACTCAACAGCACTGCCAGGTCTTAGGATCTTATTGCAAGCCTGACAGCAGCTGTGGGTTTATTCTGAAAGCACCAGCTGCTAGATTCATGGGACAAAGAAAAAACCATTTCTTATATAAGAAAATTCTATATATTGATTGCTAATTTGAATAGTTTTGATATTGAAGGAAAGAGTTAAAGTTCATCTGAAGTAGAAATAATTACTAACCCCTCACAAACTGCAGTAGGTTCCAACACCAAATTGAATTCAGGATTGTATAACCTATCCTTCAGTATCAGATTAAATATTTAATAAGTGGATTCAAAATATTTAATGCTAACTTTTCAGTCCACTGATCAACACACTGTATAGTAGCAAATTATGGAGAAGAAAAGCTGGCCTGGTCTCTCAACAGTTGTTTCCACATATATCCTAAGGAAGCATGTCCAGTATTTCCTACCACAAAGGGTCTGTGCTCCTAAACCCATGCATTTCTTAGGCCCCTATGTTAATTATACATTAAAAACAAATGTAAAAATACAGCTACAAACTGTCATCAACATATTTGCCAGAAAGTACAATCTGCATTCCATAAGAGAAACTTGGTATTAAATGCACTTTTCCATGTGTTTTATTTTCAGAGCCTTATGTAACAAGAAGGATACCCTGCTTAGGATGTGGAGCTGTTGGTCTAACAGAGAACTTGATGTCTTCATGTCAACTTGAAGTCTTATCAATAAACACAAGAAATTTTAGGTGAATTAATGAAATACACTCAAGAGTGAAAACAGATGCCATTTGTTGCATTTGAAATACAAAAGTACAGTCATGGAGATTACTCCAGCAAACAGT